CTCTCACCCATTGAAACACAATCCCATAAAACCTATTAATTTATTTCACTATTCATTTAACGAATCAAATCATATTTTTATATAAATAACTTCAAACATAGAATTTGCAAATTTTATAATATAACTATTGAATGAATTTATTGAAAAATTATTATATTAGAAACGTTTATATTAATATAGATTATTGAAAATTATATAACAAGTGCTCACATATAAAATTATATTTAAAAATTTTGTCAATCCGTTCCGTTAATAAACATTTATAATCTGATTGTTTTGTCAACAAAATAAACTTTTATTAGCAAAAAAATATAGATTTATTGTTTGTTTCACATAAAAATAATATCAAACGATTGTTTGTATTGAATTAATATACGGTATGTTTTTTATGATGAGCTAATACTTGTGGTCTTTGATGAAGAGTTTCTCACCGGCGGAGGCGCCCGCTTGACCGCCGACATACTTGCCCTGAGAAGCTTCACTGTTGGCCTTTTATGAGTTATAAAACATTAATAAATATATTAAACTTGTAGTCAATTACATACTTTGGCTCTCTTAAGGAACTCAATCTGTCCGGCCTTTACATTCTCTTTTTTCCCGCCCCAAGCCTTTAGAGCACTGGCCTGAAGGGCACGACCGTAGCTGAAGGTCAGAGCCCACGGTTTCTTTCCCTGATATTGATTGATTGCATTCAAGTGCACTGAAGCCTCTTCTTCCGATTGACCACCAGATAGGAAGACAATGCCTGACATAACAATGCATTTATGTTAACAATAAAACCTAATTATTAAGAGTTTTGCACTGAGACCTGGAAGAGCTGGCGGAACGGTTCGTTGCAAAGCCTCTATAGTAGCCCTACCGATGTCTTCGGGTTTATATTTAGTTTTGCATTCCTGTCCGGCGGTCACCATATTTGGTTTGAGAAGAGCGCCCTCCAGATAGACGTGATGATCGCTCAATGCTTTAAAAACTGCGGCCAAAACTTTTTCGGTAACCTTTTGGCACCTTTCGAGGTCATGGTTTCCATCGGGAACTATCTCTGGCTCAACAATTGGCACCAGTTTTGCCTAAAATTTGTTGACTTAGTTATTAGACATGTTTTGGACAATACATGCATACCTGTTGACAAGTGGACGCATAACGAGCCAAAACATTAGCATTTTCGAGGATAGCCAGGGGTGAGGGCTCGTGATCTTTGATCTTCAAAACGCACCGGTATTTAGCGAAACGACAGCCGTCTTTGTAGTACTGCTCGCATCTCTTCAGCAGATCATCCAAACCCTGTGTCGTGGACTCATCATTGGTGCCCAGAAGGGGCACAACTCCTGTATCAACTTTAATGCCAGGAATGATACCTCTCTTCTTCAGGATCTCCACAAAAGGAGTGCCCGAATCGTCCTTTTGGTAAAGGGTTT